TCTTTCCCATATTTAAAAGATACTAGTAAACAAAAAAGTTTTGTTTTTAATCTTGAAACTGCATTACACTTTTTCCCAGTCCTGACACAGGAAAAAGTGGAATTTTCTGAAAAATGGACTTTAGAGCACTTACGGTAAGCCAGTTTTGGCCAGTAACTAGTAATCTCCAGTAAGCACTGCTTTTTGTTTGTTCTCTTGGTAATAAATAACAAAAGGAACAAATAAAGAAATTATAAATTCAGTCATGGTAATTCTTATCTCGTCAGCTACAAAATGAGAAGCATGCATGTTATCCTGCATCTTATATCCATACTATGCTATTTAGAGGTGGCTGTCTCACTTTTGGGGAGAAGCAGAAGGTAAGTGTCCTTGATCTTCTGCAGATATATATATATACTGTTTTCTTTCTCCAACACAGAATGTAAACCTCCATTGCAGACATTTCTAATGACAACTTGCACAGATATCCAATGAGAAAAGAAACAACTTCTTGCTGTATTTTAAAGAGTCAACTAGAAATGGTTTATTCATTTATTTTGGATGTATGTGGCACAACAAAGGTGACTGATGGCTGTTGAAGCCATCTTCTTGCAGGGAGGTGGAGATCAGGCAACCATGTTCTATTGCATTCTGAGTGTGAAAATATAATCTAATCTCAATCTGTTTCTTTATGAGGATGCAAAACTTTATGCCGACAGTACTGCTGTTCTTATTTAAAGTCTCCTAGACTGCCTATTTCTAATCCTTTGGAAATACAGCCTTTGATTTTTCACTGTTAAGTATCACTAGAAGGAGAAATGAAGGCTTGGTCCCTACAAAAATATCATGTGAGAACAACTGAAAAGCTACATTACCAGAAATAGAGCTGCCTAGTCTATATGTCATTTATGAGAATGGTCGGTACAAAGTGGTGAAAGAATATAAGCCTCATAATAAATAAATATATGTTAAGAATAAGTTGTGATCAATCTGCTTTAAGACTTAAACTGCAATACATGAAGCATT